CGAGGCTGCGATCCAGACTCTCAAAACATTCTGTGCGCTTACTTCTTCTGATGGTTTGCTGTTTAGTCGCTAAACCATTTCATTTGAAGGACTGGTGTTGCCGACTCGAATAGTGGTGCCCTTGTTCCCATTGAAAGGCAAGAGTCAGTCCTTCGACCATTTTTGGAGTCGATTTAAATTTGTCTGCCAGCTCTCTTTGTCGAATTACACGCCAACTTTTGATATCATCGGCGAACATGGCGATACCGCAATCCAGTTTGCTGACGCAATCGTCGATTTAGACGATTAGCTAACTAGGGCCGAGAACGGAGCCTTGGGGAATACCACTCTCAATCGCAACCTTGGCTGATTGTTTGTCGCTGATATGGAACAGCAACAGATTTCAGTAAGATTGACTAGTCGATAATTGTTTACCGAGACCCTGCTTCCGTCCTTGAAGAGCGGCGTAACCCTCGCGGAAGTCCAATCTGCTGGTAGGCATCTGGTCTCGAAGGATGTTTGAAAGAGCGTAGAGAGTGGTTTTGTCAAGTCACCGGCGAGTTCTTTCAAAATCTTGGCCGGTACTTAATCGGGATCCGGTGACTTAGATTCCTTTAACCCTAAGAGTTCCTTAAGGACAAGAGCCTCGGTGAACTGAACAGTCTAAACTGTTGTATCTACGTCGGTGTCGTCGGTAGGGTAATCGTATATTGTTTCCTTAATGAAAACTGACCGGTAAAATTCAGACAGATGATCAGCTTTTGCTTCATCTTCTATAGGCCTATACCCTCGGTGGTCCTCAGCAGGAGTATTGGATCCTTGCTTTTTGTACTCTGATGAGGTGACTGTAAAACAGTCTGGGATTCACTGTGGCACGGTTTAGTAGGTCTGCTTCGAAATCCCATCTTGTTCTATGAATAAGACTCTTGAATCGATTTTTGAGTTTTTTTACGCACTTAGAGATGCAGGATTCCTGTCCGTGAGCGACTTTGTCCACAGTTGCCACTTTTTGTGAACTTTTTATTTTTAAGGCCTGCGTAAGCCATCGGGGTCTGTTGGTCAACCTTTTTCGCGAAATTGGACAGTACTTTTCTATGAGCCTGCGCAGTATGCCCCGGAACTTTTACCAGTCCA